CTTGAGAATTATTTAAAACTCTTTTGCATGTTGCATTTATAAAGTTATTTAATACATGTATTTATGTTTCAGAAAAAAATTGTTTTTATCATTTTTAATAGGGTACAATACTGGAGTTTTCTCTGACTCTGACCTTCTTGATAAACAGTATATTGAATTTTCTGTGATATATTGTATGTAATCATGACCATTTTATGTATCTATAATTTTATTTTCACTAAAAATATCTCTAGACTACATAATTCAGTTATTTTAGGAATGAGAATAAATGGGATCAAAGTGTACTCTCGTTCTAAGAAACTAATGATAGTTTATTTGTTGGAAGTTCTGCCTCAGAAGAGCTTCTGATGTTCATCTAAAATATATGAATAGTAGTTGTGATCTGTCATTGTTTTTGCAGATACATTATTGTTTTAATAAAAGTCATAGTCCCTGTCAGATAGTTAAGAATTTTCATTGCTGTTGTTCACAATATCCCACCATTTCATTGAGATATTGCTTGGTGTAATAATAGTACAGTCCCTGGAGTAAATTTTAGGCAAATACTTGCCCAGCCCTTTAAAATCAAGCTGAGTGTTAGAGTGAGAAATAGACTAGTGGGTGTTGCTATAAAATTTGCAGTGTGTTGGAAACAGACTTCCCAAATAGACATTCTAGTAATATCTTACAACTGAGATGTTTCCTTAAACTCAATGTATATGTTTTTGTTTGATCATTATAGATGTCTGTGATGTGTGAATATGCCCATTTTATCCTCTGTGTGAATATGCTGGAGAAAGAGTAGCCTGGCTTATAGTCTGCTTTTTTATTTCTTCTTCTGAAGGAGTTGGCAGGAATTTTTATAAAATAAAGCTAGCCTGATTGTAGCCAAAAGAGGAAATGTTGGTTTATATTTCAGTGGGGAAAATTGCTGTGTAGACTTCTAGGCTACCAGTCAGAGCATTGTTTTATTTTTATACTATAGTAAAATGGGTGCAAGCAGAGGTGAAGAACCAAGGGTGCAAGCAGAGGTGAAGAACCAAACACATTAGTAGTTTTCTTTCTTTACCAAAATAGTAATTGCCATGCTACATTTAGCCATATGTGCCAAAGCGTATGTGAAACTATTAGCTCTAGCCATATTTCTCCTGACTTGAATGAATCGATGATGAGTGTTGAAAAAAGAAGGAGGCCGGGCATGGTGGCTCAAGCCTGTAATCCCAGCACTTTGGGAGGCTGAGGCGGGTGGATCACGAGGTCAAGAGATCAAGACCATCCTGGTCAACATGGTGACACCCCGTCTCTACTAAAAATACAAAAAATTAGCTGGGCATGGTGGTGCGTGCCTGTAATCCCAGCTACTCGGGAGGCTGAGGCAGGAGAATTGCCTGAACCCAGGAGGCGGAGGTTGCAGTGAGCCGAGATCGCGCCATTGCACTCCAGCCTGGGTAACAAGAGCGAAACTCCGTCTCAAAAAAAAAAAAAAAAGAAAGAAAAAAGAAGGAACAGTCATACCGAGAAATCAGCTTCCCTGTTGTATTTAACTTCTGGTGTTTCCCTTTGGGATATATTCACCTAGGAGTGTTAGGATTTTTTTGACTTCCAGGGGAAATAATCTAGGCTTCAGATTTTGATGCATCTTTTTATTGAGGGTCTTTTGAACTCCAGCAGCTGTTAATCTTTAAAAGATGATGCTGGTAGTGAAATGCATTTTTAAATTTATATTTGTAAATTTAAATACCTGATTTTTATTTTCGTTGTGATGGAGTCTTGCTCTTTCACCAGGCTGAAGTGCAGTGGTGCGATATCTTGGCCCACAGCAATATATGCCTCCTGGTTTCAAGTGATTCCCCTGCTTCAGCCTCCTGAGTAGCTGGGACTACAGGCATGCACCACCACACACAGCTAATTTTTTGTATTTTAGTAGAGACGAGGTTTCACCATGTTGGCCAGGATGGTCTTGATCTCTTGATGGTCTCGTGATCTGCCCACCTTGGCCTCTCAAAGTGCTGGAACCATACCCGGTCCATGATTTTTTTTAAAAAAGTTTATTCTTTGAAGAAATAGCAGTGCTTTTCAAGAGTTTGACGACTACCAGAATTGAAATTTCACTGCTTGCTAAAAGCATAGTACCCAAACCAGAAATAGTAAAAGAAAATGTCATTGTCTTTGTAATAAAAAACAAAATATTTATTAAAAGTCATCATAAAAATGTTAAAAATAACAGATTTGGAAAAATATTTGTAACATACACAGCAAGTGAAAGATTATTTTCCTGATATGAAGAACTCTTAAAATGGATTAGGAAAAAAATGTTCAATGGCAAAATGGGCAAAGAACAAGAAGAGAGGAGTCACAAAAGTAGATATACAAAGATACATATAGAAATAACTTGTAATATGTATCAAAATGACAATTCTGCATACTTTGTGATCCAGTATTTCCTTCTTTGAGAATTTTTTCCCAAAAAAATATGGGTTCATGTATAAAGATACATATGTGAAGGTGCATCTAGTGAAATAGTGAAAAATGAGAAAATATCTCTCCATAAGTGGAATCATATGAAAGACATCTTCTCTCCAAGTTTTTATTATGGCAAAATACATATAAAATTTATTGTCTTAACCATTTTCAAGTGTGCAGTCTAGTAGTATACTCATGTTGTTGTGAAATCACCACCATCTATCTCCAGAACTCTTTTTCATCTCGACAGATTGAAACTCTATATCCATTAAACAATAACTCCTCATTTCCTCCTCCTCCTGCGTCCTGGCAACCACTGTTCTATTTCATTCTTTATCAATTTGACTGCTCTAATACCTCATGTAAATGGATATGTACAGTGTTTGTCTTTTTGTGATCAACTTATTTCCCTTAGCACAGTGTCTTTAAGGTTCATCCATGTTGTAGCATGTATAAGAATTTCTTTCTTTTTAAGGCTGAAAAACATTGGCAGGTGGTAATGGTTTGGCTATGTCCCTAATCAAATCTCAACTTGAAGTGTATCTCCCAGAATTCCCACATGTTGTAGGAGGGACCTAGCGGGAGGTGGTTGAATCATAGGGGCTGGTCTTTTCCATGCTATTCTCGGAATACTGAATAAGTGTTATGAGATCTGATGGGTTTATCAGGGGTTTCTGCTTTTGCTTCTTCCTTATTTTCTCTTGCTGCTGCCATGTAAGAAGTGCCTTTTGCCCCACACCATGATTCTGAGGCTTCCCCAGGCATGTGCAACTGTAAGTTCAACTAAACCTCTTTTTGTTTCCAGTTTTGGGTATGTCTTTATCAGCAGTGTGAAAACAAATTAATACAGCAGGCACCTTGTTTAATAAAAAAGATTTTTTGAATGGATAATGCAGGTATTTATACCCTCATTTAAAGTATGAGGAACCTGAAACCCAGAAAGATGGTGACATGTCTAAATGTCATAACTAGTCAGTGTGAGAGCCAGAACCAAAACTCACGTTTTTTCATCACAGTTTAGTGTTCTTCCCAGTATGGTACACTCCTAGGCCTTGAATACAAGGAATGATCTTTTATTGTTGTATTGTCCCCTGTATAAAAAGCTTTGCATATTCTAACTAAAAAAAAAAACTTTGCTGTATTATCATCTTTGGATATTACTAGTTTTGATGTCCTCAGTCTGCTCTGTTTTTGTTACTACGGTAGCTCCTGTAGTAGCAAAATTTGGTTTTCTTTTTGTCTTGGTTCTAGTTTCAGTGGGCTGCAAGGATTGCTTTGAATGCCAGCTCTATAACTTACTGTGTGATCTGGGGCAAGTGCTTATACCTCTCTCAGCCTAGTGCCCTTATCTATAAAATTAAGCAATAGTACATGTGTTGGGTTTCTAAAATAGTTAAATTCACAGAATCAAAAAGTGTAATGGTAGTTGCCGGGGATGGGGGGAAATAGAGAATTACTAATCAATGGGCATAAACTTTTGGTTAAGATGAATAAGCTCTAGAGATTTGATGTACAACATTGTACCTGTCGGCAGTGATAATGTATTGTACACTTAAAAGTTGTTAGAGTAGATGTCACATTAAGGGTTTTACTACAGTAAAATAATAAAGGTCATCATGTGTCATCATGAAGATTGAATAACATAAAAATGTGTGGCACAATCTGGCATATACAAACCACTTGTTAAATGTTAATATTTATTATTTAATGTTTATAATACTTAAAAGTCATTTTGTGTTTTTCTATGCTTTGCTATTTTTTCTTTTCGAGACAGAGTCTTGCTTTGTCACCCAGGCTGGAGTGCAGTGGCCTGATCTTGGCTCACTGCAAACTCCACCTCCCAAGTTCAAGCAATTATTCTGCTTCAGCCTCCGGAGTAGTTGGGATTATAGGTGCGTGCTACCATGCCTGACTAATTTTTATATTTTTAGTAGAGATGGGGTTTCACCATGTTGGCCAGGCTGATCTCAAACTCCTGACCTCGAGATCTGATTGCCTTGGCCTCCCAAAGTGCTAGGATTACAGGTATGAGCCACTGCGCCCAACCAATTTTTGTACTTTTAGTAGAAATGGGGTTTTATCAAGTTGACCAGTCTGGTCTTGAACTCCTGGCCTCAGGTGATCTGCCTGCCTCGGCCCCTGAAAGTGCTGGGATTACTGGTGTGAGCCCGCATGCCTGGCCACCCTTTGTATTTTTGGATGAAATTTTTTGAATGAATGTATTCATATTCCTGTAGATTTCCCATTTCCTGCATTCACTCAACTTTAGTTTCTGTGTAATACCTTCTATTAATTTTGAACAGTGTTTTTATTATCATTTATGCAAAGTGAGGAGTGCCATACTGTTTTGCTCTCTGTTGGGAATAAACCCAAGTTAAATTACTGACATTTTGCCTATTATCTCAATCATTTTTTAAGGACCTGTAAAACAGAATAAGGTGAATTCTAATTTGCTAGATGCAGATTTCTTGTAGCTATTTTTGATTCCTGCAGTCTGCTCTGATTTGCTACTTGAGGAGGAAAGCTGATTTGGGGTTTTCTTTTTGTCTTGGTTCTAGCACATGCAGATGACGATCCAGGCTCTTCAGGATGAATTGCGGATCCAGAGGGACCTGAATCAGCTGTTTCAGCAAGATAGTAGCAGTAGGACTGGCGAACCTTGTGTAGCAGAGCTGACGGAGGAGAACTTTCAGAGGCTTCATGCTGAGCATGAGCGGCAGGCCAAAGAGCTATTTCTTCTTCGAAAGACATTGGAGGAAATGGAGCTGCGTATTGAGACTCAAAAGCAGACCCTAAATGCTAGGGATGAATCCATCAAGAAGCTTCTGGAGATGTTGCAGAGCAAAGGACTTTCTGCCAAGGCTACTGAGGAAGACCATGAGAGAACAAGACGACTGGCAGAGGCAGAGATGCACGTTCACCACCTAGAAAGCCTTTTAGAACAGAAGGAAAAAGAGAACAATATGTTGAGAGAGGTATGTGACTACTTTTTTATTTTTATGATTTATTGATTGTCTTTTTTTTTCCTGATTAATCAGCATCTTGGCCCCGATTAATGTACATACTCTGCTCTGCTAGTGGAAGAGAATTTCATCTTTTGTATTTAAGTGCGTCACTGATTTCTATTCTGATTTGCTCTGTTGTATGGGATGACATTGTCTGGTATGTATGCTGGCTTAGTGACTTTCTGGGTCTTTTCTCTCCTGCTCCCCTGATTTCGAGAGTTCTTTTGTTGCTTAGAGGGGTACAGAATTTTCTTCATTTTTCACTCATTTCTAGATTTGTCCATAGAGACAACAAACACAACAAAACCAGAATCAGAGTAGCTATTGCTCAGTTTAAAAATATTAATAAAAGAGTGTAAGCAGTTATCTCAGCTTATGTTTGCTTATAAAAGTCCTTGGCAGCAATAATGGATATTTGCCCTGTGGTTTCCATGGAAACTGTTGCCTTGCTGTAAAAGATACGTGATAAAAAGCATTGGCTGCCATGGAGGCATAGCTGGAAAGAGTGATGTAGAGACACGGTGTTACTTAGAGACACGGTGTTACTTATTTTTAGCTGACCTGGGTGACTAGTGATAATTTTTTATTTTTCTAAATAATGTATCATTTTAAGAAGACATAAAGGAAGAAATCATCTTATATTGAATTAAAAAAATTAATAGCCATGATTTTTCTATATATGGTCAGACTTCAGATAATTTTCACATTTGGGCAGGGGAAAATAAAACCCCAATTTGTGTTAGTATGAGTCTGAATAATTTCTTTTAAATGAAATGTGAAGAAGGAGGTTAAAAAAATGGCATATTCCCAAAGCAGCAAAATAATAATTGAAAAAATACTTTTAAGTTTATAGGTTGTTCTATAATTTTTCCTTTTGTCAAAAGTCTGAAATATTTATTTACAATGAGGGCCATTTTTATTTTTGAAGTAGAGCATAATTGTTTTTTAAAAACATGATTTTATTACACTGGAAATCTATTGTAAAATTAGGAAATAGATTAATAAAAACTTATAATCCAAGGTATTGCTACCTAGTAATAATCGTTAACTTTTGTTATATGTATGCTTCCAGTCATTTTTTTTTTTAATTAAAAATTTTTATTTTTAGAGATAGGGTCTCACTCTGTCACCTAGACTGGAGTACAGTGGCACAATCATGGCTCACTGCAGCCTTGAACTCCTGGACTTAAGCGAGCCTTCTGCCTTAGCCTCCCTGTAGCTAGGTCTACAGGTGCATGCCATGTAGTTTTTAAAATAAAAAAAAAATTTTTGTAGAGACAGTCTCTATGTTTCCTAGGCTGGTATTGAATTCCTGGCCTCAAGCAATCCTCCCACCTTGGCTTCCCAAAGTACTGGGATTACAGGCAGTACGCCCATACCTGGCCCTTTATTATTATTATTATTATTATTATTATTATTATTATTTTTGAGACAGAGTTTTGCTCTGTTCCAGGCTGGAGTGCAGTGGTATAATCTTGGATCACTGTAATCTCCGCCTCCCGGGTTCAAGCGATTCTCTTGTCTCTGCTTCCCAAGTAGCTGGGAATATAGGTGCGTGCCAGCTAACTTTTGTATTTTTAGTAAAGACAGGGTTTCACCATGTTGGCCAGGCTGGTCTCAAACTACTGACCTCAGGTGGTCTGCCTGCTTCTGCCTCCCAGAGTGCTGGGATTACAGGCTTGAGCTACTGTGCCCAGCCCCATTTTTATTTTATTTATTTATTTTTTGAGACAGAGTTTTGCTCTTGTTACCCAGGCTGGAGTGCAATTGCGCGATCTCGACTCACTGCAACTTCCACCTCCTGGGTTCAGGCAATTCTCCTGCCTCAGCCTCCTGAGTAGCTGGGATTACAGGCCCGCGCCACCATGCCTAGCTAATTTTTTGTATTTTAAGTAGAGACAGGGTTTCACTATGTTGACCAGAATGGTCTCGATCTCTTGACCTTGTGATCCACCCGCCTCGGCCTCCCAAAGTGCTGGGATTATAGGCGTGAGCCACTGCACCCGACCCCTATTTTTATTATTTATACATTCCTTCATTATTTCTGTTTCTTTTTTTCTCTTGCAAAGGTGGAATACTGGGCATCAGCACTGTTCAATAAGACTTTCTGGGTGGAGTGTTATGTTGGGAAGGGGATTTTGTAATAGGGTAAGTGTCCTTTAGGAGGTGCCCTTTCAGTTGAGATCTGAAGAGAAGCCAGCTTTGCTGAGCATTTGAGTAAAATCATGTCATGAAGAAGTACTAGCAGTTTCAAAGGCCTTGTAGGAAGGAGTTTTGAGGAAATAGGAGGGAGGCTGGAGGGCAAGAATATACTGTAAGGGGAAGACTTAATGAGATGTGAAGTTGGAGAGGTAGCCAGAGTCAGATTCACATCACATGTTTCTTGGAATCAGCCATGTGCACAACACTAAGGATATAGCAGCAAACAAAACAAAATCCATGCTGTCTTTGAGGAAAAGTACCTGTCTTTATGGTTCTTGCAGATAATGCAACAATTTTATTCAAAATGGGAGAGAAAACCATTTGAATGTTTAATTAAGGGAGTGACACAATCTGATTTAGCTTTTAAAATTTACTCTGGTTGTGCTGAGAATAAATGGAGGAAGGAGAGACAAGAATGAACAAGGGAGTAATTTAACTGCTGTAATCTAGGTTAGGGAGTAGGGACTTGAAATGACTGCTGGAGATGTACAGAATATCACTGGCGTATCCAGAAGCAGAAGAATTATGGGCTAGTAGTGTTAGGGTATCCAAAAATTTCATTATTTATTGAATTATTGTCCATCTTTTAAAAAATTGGCATCTAATCAGTTCTAAAGGTCACAGCTTTCCCTATTTTAACAATGAAATTGAGTTAAGTCTTTTTTTTTTTTTTGAGACGGAGTTTTGCTTTTGTTACCCAGGCTGGAGTGCAATGGTGCGATCTCGGCTCACCGCAACCTCCGCGTCCTGGGTTCAGGCAATTCTTCTGCCTCAGCCTCCTGAGTAGCTGGGATTACAGGCACACGCCACCGTGCCCAGCTAATTTTTTGTATATTTAGTAGAGACGGGGTTTCACCATGTTGACCAGGATGGTCTCGATCTCTTGACCTCGTGATCCACCCGCCTCGGCCTCCCAAAGTGCTGGGATTACAGGCTTGAGCCACCGCGCCTGGCCGAGTTAAGTCTTAATACTTGGTTTCATCTTAACAGTTTCTATCAGCAAAGCAGCAGTCCTGGTATTTGTTTCTCTGTGTATTCACAGATATAATAACCATGGCCATTCATTTTGTTGTCATCTCAGCTGAGGTATGAACATTGTTGGTATTTCCCATGTTAGCTTTGTCGTTCAATGTGTCTATGTGAATATTCTGTGAATCAGCATTGAAAGGAAATTGCTGGGTATGGAGAAAGTTATGAAGACAGTTTATGATGATATATGATTAAACTCTATTTAAATAAGTTTTAAAAAGCTAACTCTTGCAATCAGTATTAAGTAAAAATTCTAGGCCGGGTGCATTGACTTATTCCTGTAATACCAGCATTTTGGGAGGCCAAGGCAGGGGTATCACCTGAGGCCAGGAGTTTGAGACCAGCCTAGGCAATAGGGCAAAACCCCTTCTCTACTAAAAATACAAACATTAGCTGGGTGTGGTTACACGTCTGTAATCCCAGCTGCTCGGGAGGCTGAGGCAGGAGATTCACTTGAACCCGGAAGGCAGAGGTTGCGGTGAGCGGGGATTGCACCAATGCACTCCATCCTGGGCAACATAGTGACACTCTGCCTCGAAAACAAACAAGCAAACAAACACACAAACCCCCAAATGATAAAGTTTTCTGCCATGATTTATTTGGAGGCATTTCCCCTATTTCTTTTCAGCATGTATAATAGTATGTCTTATAATCAGTGGCATCTTATAATCAGGTTTGATGAAATAAGGTAGCGTTAAAATGGCATTTGTAGCTATTGACATGTGTAATTTTACCTTTTTTTTTTTGAGACAGAGCCTTGCTCTCTTGCCTGTATTTTCTTGATCAACATGATTTTGTAGATAGCAGGTAAATAATTCTCCCCTCAAAAAAGTGGAAAGATAAAAAGTAAGATTTCAATTAAGCATTGTATTTTTTGTTTGTACTCAAATCACATTGTTGTGTGACTGCTTATTAGATTTTGTATTATTTTGCTGTAGCTTTCATTTGCTAGAAGAGTGGGGACATCTACTGGACAAATGCTGAAATACAGACAAAACTTGGGTAGTGCTGGCAGCTTGACAGGGTGATTCTGTTAAACACCAACACTTGAGGCCCCAACTCTGGTTTTCAGTCTGTTAACAGAGGATACTGTCCTAAGTTAGCTGTGGAATTTTTATGTTTTCAATTCATATGCATACCAAACATTGTCTATAGGCCAACTAAATAATATATTTCAGTATTTGCTCCTACCTATTTAAATACCAGTAGATGCTATTGTGATTAATAAAATGCAACTCTGTTTTAAAACATTATTGCAGTCTCCTAGTTTTTTTTGTCTCTGTTTTAATCAACAAGCCATATTAGTACAACTGCTATCATGTTAGGTTTGCAAAAATCTTTGAGATTAAAAGTGCAAATATTTGAATATGTTCTAGGCTGGGGAATTCTGAATCTAAACTAGCATATCTGAGGACTGCTTGTCAGTATTATTGGTAGTTGGAAGGTATAAACAGAGGAGATTGGAGAAAAAAAAGAAACATATATATAAACAACAAATAGGCGGAATTTAAAAAGAAAAAGTTTTTTTTTTTTTTTTTGAGATAAAATCTTTGTCACCCAGGCTGGAGTGCAGTTGGTGCAATCTTGGCTCACTGCAACCTCCTGCTCCCTGGTTCAAGCGATTCTCCTGCCTCAGCATCCTGAGTAGTTGGGATTACAGGTTCCTGCCACCACACCTGGCTAATTTTTGTATTTTTAGTAGAGACGAGGTTTCACCATGTTGGTCAGGCTGTTCTCAA